AATATATAATCAGCAAGTATAGGAGAATATATTATCATATAATATATTGTTTGATTTGTGTTTATAAACATTACCTTTGTAAACAGACACACAGAAAAGACAGTATAAGTCATTTAAGATTTGGTCATTGACTGCAAATGAATGATTAACTAATTGAAATTGCGATTAATTGAGAAAATAATCAGCAGGTTAATCGATTACGAAGATAATCTTAGTATGTTCTTTTTATATTTTAGTTTTGATATAAACTACAGCAAATGTAATTTTAATAACATATTAACATTTCACGTAGATTTTTCTAAAGAAGCAGTGCCACTACGGTACACACCAACTGCAGTTAGAATCAATGACCCATAAACATTGGACAGCCAACCATTTGTCAGTGTTTTTGCTGTCCCTCTTTGGAGGAGGGGACAGGATAGCTGTGTGTGTGTGTGTGTGTGTGTGTGTGTGTGTGTGTGTTGGAGGGTAAATGCATGCACATGTGCATGAAGGGCACGGAGGAGGCAGCAGTCTCCCAAAGGAGGAATTTATTTGAAAAGAGCCTCCCATGACCTGGCTTGATCTTGTCCCTTCATTCTTTGGTGGGGGTTGTGTGTGTGTGTGTGTGTGTGTGTGTGTGTGTGTGTGTGTGTGTGTGTGTGTGTGTGTGTGCATGTGTGTGTGTGTGTGTGTGCGTGTGTGTGTGTCTGTGCGTGCGTGTGCGTGCATACTCAGTGTTGGGGATTTGCAGATCTTTCTAACGGCTGTACCCCCCCGAGGACAGGATAGGACTGCACTCCCACCAATGGCTCATAGCACTAATCTGACTGACAGCCTCGTCCAGCTTTCAGCCAAGAATCAGCCCACCAGTAAGGTCCAAATACCTGCTGAAGAATCTTATCTGCCATCAGACGACAGCAGAGGAGCTGCACTCCCCACACTGTTCCCAAGCAAATGCTGAACCGCCTGTCTCACTATCCGCCTCTCCTCTCTCTTCTAGTCTGCCTGCTTGTTGTTTGTCAGCATAACACTGTACGACCTGCACTTCTCCGGACTCAGCTGGATTTGACAGTTTTGACAGACTGTCACAGCAACAAACTAAAAGGCAGTGGGATCACACTGTCATAATATCCTTCTACAGGCATTTTGAAAGAGCACCTTTAAACCTTTGCCCTTGATGCTTTGTTTTTGTAAACATACTGCATGTACATTTAAATGCATTTTTTGCATTACTTCAAAGGGAACAACAAGGTTTCAGAAAAAACTATAAATAATATCAAAGTCTTTGTTGAAATATTTCACTGAAAGCTTGATCTGACTGAACATTGCTTCACTGTTGTGCTCCTGTTACTGTGTATACCACTAATAAGGCAAAAGTACAAGAAAACTCCTGCCACGTCAGTAAAAACACCCCCACAAGCCATCTGTCTTGTTCTTCTTCTCCTTCAGGGGAAAACTGTGAGGCTATTTAGCTAAAATGCCCACTCATCAATCAGTGGGGCTGTTCCACGAGCCATCCAACGCAGCTTGAACTAGAGGACCCTCATAATTGAATATTAAACCCCCGATGAGTGGCAAGGCAAACTACTGTGATGACGACTGGAGGCTGTGATGTGTCGCTGGCACAGATACGTGTAGTGCTGCTCAATGCGGAGTGAGTCGCAATGTGCCTACCCTGAGGTTATTCTGTCACACTGTCATAATTTCCATCTTTTGGATGAGAAGTGTATCTACAGACACACACCGGCACTCACACAAGGGGTCCACAGATGCAAGCAGGCATGAATGTACTTGGCATGGACATACATAAACACAGCTGGCTGTAAAAACATGGTGGCAGTGGCAGGAAGACTGCAGAAATCTGCCTTTTTCTTCAGTTATGTCAAGAAATGAATTTGGCTTTTGTTACTTTTATTTTGGTCACTGTTTAATGCAGAATGCTGAAGGAATCTGTAGACAGTGACAGATCAGACTAATGATTAAGGAGCAACCTCTGACTTGGCAATGCAAATTTAACTGCAGACATAAAAGCAAAATGGTGAGAGGAGACACAAGAAGTTAAGAAGGAAATTGTATTTCACTGGTGTTCTGCCTGCATAATCTGATGTATGAAATGGATGTTGAGGCGGAACATGATGTGGGGAGGTACTCTTGAAAAGTTCAAAGGATGCTTTGTGAGCTGTTACAAATGTGGATTCTTCAAAAGTAAAAAAACACATTCAGCTGCAACCACAGTGCTTCTGGAGGAGTAAATTGGGTTTTCACACCTGTGCGTATCGACATGGTGAGAAGAATGATGTCTTTACAGCAGTTTCTTTCAATTATTTAATACAATCCTCCTGCCACTTTTCGTCATTACCATTAACTGCCAATACATGATGTTTTTTTGCTGCCATTGCACCAAATAAAACTCAATCAAAACCAATCAGACCACAACATTCAAGTTCCACTACAAAGTTTTATCCTTCAACCAACTTTAGCAAAGCTGAAACAACATGCCAAGCACCCCCCTGCTGTTTCAAGAGGCTCCCCGTGAAAGCAAAACCAAGAGGCTGACTCTTAGAGGAATGCCTCATTCAGACTCAAACTGGCATCAGCTGTTGACAGACAGCCCAGAATAAAAACATCCTGTGATGGGTGTCCTTTCTGGCTGACTGATCTGTGAGGATAAAGCTGTTAAAATGTACAGAGAACCTCCCAAAGCAAACAAAGAGCATGACAAATATCTCTGAAGGATTAATTTTGTTGTGCCAAGTAGTCACAACAAAACTGGGATTAAGATTTCCTGTTTCCATCAGAGAGTAAATGATCTCTGCAATGTTAGAAGCTCTCTTACTCATCACTGTTTAATAGGGCAAATCTGAAAGGAGTCAAAGAGATATTATAATAATATGACTAAGCTGACAAATTTTAATCAAGGTGCACTAATTATGTACGGCTGTTAAGTTTCACTATATGTGGGTCAGCTGCTAATATTTTAATACTGCACGGTGGCTTTTCTATGGCATGACAGTAGTGGGATTTATAATTTTGGCACAATGTTAATACTGTACTTAAGATACTTTGAGAAGTCACTGCATCAATAGAGTCTACAGTTTGATTTGTTGGTAATAAATATGTGAAAAGATAGCAGGATATAAATGCACTCCTGAAATTCCTCCAAAGTAAAGTCCTCAGTTCCTTCTTAAAACCATGTGGTTGGCCTGTTTTTGGTTTACAGAAGCAGCAAATCCATGTCCTGCTAGCAGAGACGTAAACTTAAAAAGTAGTGAATCAACTAGGTATGTCACTGTACTATAGGTGTTTACATCTATACTTGAAAACCAGCGCAGCTTCAGCATCAACACAGCGTGCCAACCCTCGTTCAGAGCTATAATCATCCCAGCACGTAGAAGCTGATCCCCGTCTTTCCCTCCGAAATAGGCACTGCTCTTGTCATTATAATGACTTAATAATTATCATCTAAGGGTGCAACTGGGGAGTGAGAGAGAGAGAGAGAGAGAGAGAGAGAGAGAGAGAGAGAGAGAGAGAGAGAGAGAGAGAGAGAGAGAGGGTAGACTGTGAGAGCAGGCAGCAGCACCCTGAAGATGCATGATGAATGAGGGTGTCAGCTGTATTCACCCAACTAGCAGCTCTGTCTCTGAGAGGGTCGGGCCCCATGCGCTGAGACCTGTCTCATTAACCACAGTGATCATGCATTAACAAGAGAGCGAGAGAGAGAGAGAGAAAGAGGGGGAGTGGGAAAATAAATCATTTTCTATAAGATGGACGAACCATAAGTTTTAAGTATAATATCTGTCTCAGTGACTCAAACTTGGTTTCACTGCTGGCCAACATGGCTCTGATAGAGCAAGACGTATTGGTGTAATGTATTTGATTGTGGAGATGTATTGGGATTAGAACATGTACATATTTGGATTTTCATTAGTTAGTAAATTTTAACAAATAGTTTGTTATTCAGTTGCGTCAAAACACAAATTATACGAATTTGGAGAAACGGACAGGTTCAGGGGCCAGCACTTGGCAACACTGAACCTCACTTTCCTGCTCCCCATTGTTTTGGTATCCTGCATTATTGATGTGGAGCTGACATTTTACACTCCACAGCCACAGTGCCTCCACTGTCACCTGCAGCACTGTCTCCACAATAGTCATACTGACACTGTCAGAGCCAGAAAATGATGTGACAACCATATGGGACTGTGTAGTGAGAATTATGCTCATGCTTCACTCTTTTGTGTCTCCTACAGCCCTAAAATTTTATTTTCCTATATTATACATCACATTTAATAAAAACAACATGAATTCATGACTTTGACAACACCATTAGTCTCTATGATGACTGCTGACGAGAATACAGACGTCTTTTTAGTTCTCACTAACAAAAAAAAAATGCTTTGCACCTACAGTATCTACAGTATGTCTTTATGTTGCTCTGGCTGTCGTCAGGGGCGTGGTTGGGAGTCAGCTTAGGTCAGTCCACATGATCCTATAGTAGTACTACTAAACTATAACGGAACTGACGGTTGCAGGAAACGTGAAAATACTTTTTAACAAGCTTCAAAATCATCCAGTGCCACTTGACATGCCATGAAAAGCCCTCACTCAGCCTCATGGCAGTGTCATAAAGATGCCAAAGAGAGGCTGTCAGTCTCATACTTTGTGTAGTTTCAGTGCTTTTTTAATAGCTCTGATGGTGCATTCATGGACAATGTGAAATGAAGGTAAATGCATAAACGTAAAGTCCATGATGCAATGCTGACGCGCCACATACCCTTTACGCTCCCGCTATTCCAAATCAGTCACACGCTCCTTGTTTTCGTCTTGCAAGGATAAATGCTTTTCATGCACTTGTAAAAAGCTGATACGGTTGGTTATCTCGCCGCAGCGCAGGATCCCAGTGCCTCACTGAAGAGCCTGGAACAACAACCAAACTAACAGTGTTTCTATTTAGCCAGTGCGCACGCTGCCCTGTCTACGGCTTTTAAAAACCCCCACAGGAAAGAAGCACAGCCTACCTCGGTTCGCCGTGACAGCTCCGTATGTCGACTTGTAGCAGTGGCTGGCAACAACGTGCCGCTCGCAGTAAAGATCTCAGCTGGTAAGCGCAGAAGTTTTCTGACTGAGGGATCTCTCTCTCTCTCTCTCTCTCTCTCTCTCTCTCTCTCTCTCTCTCTCTTTCTTTCATACACACACACGCGCGCACACACACACACTGTGTCGGTGTCTGACAGATCTGTGTATCACACACCACTGTGGAGTGTATATGACAACGCCCCAAAACAAAACTGATCTGGTTGATTCGCCGCGTGCATCATTAACGCTCGTTAAAGATGTTGCTGTCCTACTCGGCCGTGCGCAAAGGTACTCTCCCACTCTCTCCTGACATGGTCCCCAATCTAAACGCTCCCCAAGGACACGTGATCAACCCACGGGGGACGGGAATAGCTCTCGTCTGCCCTGCCCCCCCCGGCAGCAGCTGGGATCGGTTACACCGCTGCTCCAGTGCCCGCGCAACAAACCCGAGCTGTGCGCACCCATACTCCTCCTCCGCCCGAAACCTCCCGTCCCCTGTGGCCTCACGGTGTCGCTGTCATTGAGATGCACAAGATCTGCACCTGTCTCCTTAGCCTGTAGACTCATAATTAAGAAATTAAATTGGTAAAATAGTTTGAGACAATTACTTAGCCTACATATACAATATTTAACATGTTTTGCATTCAAATATAATGACAGTATCTTTGACTAATTAAAAGAAAGATATAAAAGCAATCAGGCTTTTGGAATATCAATTTAATCTTTAAAGTTACTGAAAATGTCTCCGCCAGCTGAGTGAAAGAGCCTACATCAACACCTTTCTCACTTTTCTCTGGTATGTATATATCTTATGGTATGTAGTTTTTCAGTTAGAAAAAGGAAAAATGTTTAGTATTTCCATGCACCAATCAGAGTTTAGCAACATTTCAGTCATTAATGCATATATCTTATGCTTCCAGGCCACTGTCAATTAAATCTGACGAAACCACACCCACACTGTCCTGATGAGTTTTTAACTCTTGATAAACAATAAATATGTTTTTTTGTCAAAACTTTAACTTTGATAGTTGTTTTCTTAGCCATAAATATTGAATGTCATACAGAAATGCCTAAGACTTGAAACCAAGTTTTAAGGTGCTTTAAAACAGTCTGTGTTGATTCATTGCTAGCACCCAGTGTCGGGTACCTCTGCTCTTTGAACAGAGAATTAAAACTCACCAGGGGCTGGCCCGATGGTGTTTTTGAGTTGGCTCCAAATGAGCAAAGCAAAATGAAGAAACAGCCTTCATTTTGCCTTTCAGTCACATATTCACACTCTCTCCTGTTGGAAGCAAAAATTGACAGTTTTGGTTGCTAGAAAGATGTTTTTTCTCTGACTGTTAAATATTATATTTTTGGTTGGACTGCAGTATAGATGGGCCAGACCTAAATGTGAAAATCTGTTTCTGACAGAGTGAGTAACTGAGTGAGTGATGAAGTTACACCAATGGTAGTTTCCTTATTTGTCTTTCAAAATGAATAGGCACAAACGCATAAGCTAACTCCAGTTACTGGGTAGGTGCAGCTCTGTTAGCTCTAGTGGGCTCAGTCCTCGCTTACACAGTGCTGAAGGCTTTCAGTACACAGCCACTAACTACATGGGCCATCCTTCAGTCTTCAGTCTCTCCTTGTGTATAAGTCCGTCTATTTCTGCAGGAGACAATGGGGAATCCATTCCCTCCTTTCCACTTGTGTCTTCTCTCCATGACAGCAAAACATGATCTAGGCAGAAACTGTCAGTTAGACATATTATATAGTGAGACAGCTCACTAACACTGGACACTGTGTAGACCAGCAGACAGACAGAGAGAAACTTGAAGCTACAAACCCATGTATTACTCTCTTAACATAACAGGCTCATGCTGTAAAAAATATTATTATATTTTCAGCGCAAGAACATTATAAGTGGTACATACAGGCATTTAACGGAGCCTTCTTTCTGTGTTGTTATTCTCGTCTCGTATTTGATATTTTATTTTTAGTATAACTAAATAGAACAACTGTAAACTCTTTTAAGTACAAGTAAACAGGATGTTGCCGTAAAAGAGCTCAGCGAACCTGCCCAGTATTTATATAGAACGAGTCACTTTTGTAATTGGGTTGGACCACATTTCCACATTCAGATCTCAAACAGTATCAAACAATTAAAAGAAAAATACTCCATCACTGGTCTGAAAATCTCACCAGATGCACAAGACTTATGGAAACTTAATTTTCCTCCTGCACTTACCGCAGTGAAACAAGATCTGATTAGGTGGCATGATCTTCCGCTCTCATTTATGGGTTGTATCAGCCTTATAAAGATCAATGTACTCCCTCGACTTCTGTCCCCTCTACAAATGTTGCCACTGCGCATCTCTAAAAGAATTACCAAGGACTTGGAGAGATGAAAATGTATCTGGCATGGTAAAAGGCCTTGACAAAAAATTAGCTCTCTCCAGTTGCCTACAGTAAAAGGTGGTTTAGCAGCACCGATATGCTTTTCTAAAGCTGTGCCTGTCACGTTCGTACCCTCTGAGCTTGGTTACACTTAGGCTTGAAACTTGTGTGGACTCATGGGAATGCTCTCCAGAGTCCCTGTGGACCAGAAAAAAATAGAACAAACATTATGAATAACCCATTAATTATCAACTCTATTGTGCAGCAGGAGCTATCTGTATACATGGATAGACAGGGTGTCGCCTACATGCTGTCTGCCGTCTGTAATCAGGAATTCTAAAAACCCGGCTTGGGGCCTTCTTTATTCGAGTCATGGCGTGTCAAAGGGATTCATGTGATAGGGGATATGTCTTGAGGGTAACATCTTCATGTCCTTTAGCCTCCCTAAAGATCACTCTTTTGGATTCTATTAATTCATGTGTAAAACCCGCAGAGGACACTTCCATCAACAGTGAGGAAGATATGTTTATCCACGAGCAGAAAGATTTAAACCACACAATATCCCTTTTCTATTCAGTGTCACATGACAAAACCATAGTGCCATGAAAGGAGGGTGACCTTGGTAATGAATACAACGAAGAAGATTGGCAGGAAGCGATACATCTGATACAATCAACCTTCACTTGCAAAGGGCTTGTGGAGATTCAATACAAAATATTACATAAGCTCCATATAGAACCTGTTGTTTCTCCTATTCGCTGTGAGTGTCAAACAGATCTTGGCACTAATTTTCACTACTTCTGGGAGTGCAGTCGGATTAGTGGATATTGGAATCACATAGCTCGAGAACTGAGGATACAGGGCTATTCATACTAGATTTGCCCTCTAAAGAAGTATCACTCTCCCGTAATCACTAAAAATTGCTTGATAAACCTTTGCTCCCTGCTCATAAAAGCATCCTGTTAAAATGGGTTAAAGATACTCCGCCCACAGTAACATTCTGGTACAGGGAGATTTTTAATATGCTACCTCATGAGAGGATAAGTGCAGTCCTTAGGGATAATGAAGGCTCATTTTTCAAGATCTGGAAGCCTGTCCTAGATTATTTACCATCAGAGCTTAAACACATTCTCTTAAAAGGCCAAAACCCCTCAGAATGGAAGCAAATCATGTCTAGTGCCACATGAAGGAATATCTAATACTTCTCAGATCATTCTTTTTTGTTACATTCTTTTACTATTCTCTTGCTATGAGAGTAAGAGGACAATATATTTTACTCTTTGAGATTCTGTCACTGTTAAAACTGTTGTTTTCTTTTTTGTTTGTTTGTTTTCTTTTTGGTTCTGACTGATTGTTTCTAACATTACATGACAGATTTGTAACTCTGTGAGCCTTGTGTTCTGAAAACAATAAAAATATGTTACATACAAGCTGCTGCAGCTGCCAGTGAGAGATGTACTGGATACCTGCCTCTTCCATTTGATGTGTTTTGACATAGGAGGTGACTATAATCAGATGGTGTGATATCTTATGTGAACATCAGTGCAGATTCTTGAGGCATGGCACACTGAAAGATAATACAATATGTAAACACTCTTGAGGATGCACAGTTTAGGATTCTCAGTAAACGTAGCTCTAATGTAACCTAATATTTCTGTTCTTTGTTGTTGTTTAATATTCTGTGGATTTGACATAACAACTTTATACATCTATGAAAAAGATAATCTGCTCGGCATTTGCGGTGAGGTGCATGTGTGAGTCAGCTTTGCTCCCACAAGCTGCATCAACGCCACAAAAGTCGCTGTCAAATCATTGAATAGTTATTTTGATTTTGTCTGTGCTTGACGCTGGATGACATGCGCGTTTTTACTCTGATATCAAACAAGATGCAAGTCAATAAAAATGAAGCAGAGCATCAACTTGAGACCTTTCAGGCTGAACCCACCTCCTCAGCTTCCTGCGGTCATAATTGGAAGGTGGGCGAATGGAAACAACATCGCTGCATCGTGTGCATGCAGGCAGGGGAATGTCTGTCACACCATTACTGCTGACGGCTGCTCTGCATGCACAATGGAAACTACTTGCCACAGCAATGGAAACCTTGGATCATGACATAATTGTGTCAGGTCCAACAAATGTTGAAGGTTGAAGCCCTCAAATGGGATGCTTGAAAGCCGGAGTCCTGTCAAAAAAGTAACATTTAATATTTACTTCCAAAAGAACATGGTGTTTTCATGGTGATAAAGTGATTCCTGTTTCAGGCATCACTGATCAGACAGATCAATGCTTAAGTGCCACATGAAGTTAAAGCGAAGGCGGCTTTAAATTTAAATTTTTATGCCACTTGACTCTCCTGTGGAAGCATTTTGGAAACAGGGTTAGAGGCCTGAAGATGAGAGGAACTGTCTTCTCCAGGCCTGTAGGTGAGCTAACGTTGGTGTGTTGCTGAGAAACAAGAATGCGTCTGCTGAATTACTGCCTTCAAACTGCTCTCAAATGCAAATGTGACAGATGTTAAATAGTAGCAGAGCTGTACAGTCGTACAACTTGCCGTCTTAATTAGGTCCTCTGTGACAAGGCACTCATTCAGTGGAGACGAGAAGGACAGCTTAATGCTGGAGGGGAAACTGATTGGTGGTCTTTGTCTCTGCCTCTCTCTCTGTCACATCCACCCGCTCCCATCCCACACATACTGCCAGTCGCCATTTCCCTAACACACATCATTATTGATTGGATTTTGTTATACAGTGAATGTGCCATGTACAACATCGCAGTGTTTCCCAACATGCCTTTTCAATTTGTCTTAGTGAAGGGATCAATCTCCATTTGGCCTCTAAACGCACACCCTAGAAGAAAGATGCTGTACAAAGGAAATCCTCAGTGGAGGGATTCACACTGGGGGAACAGCATTGAAGAGGGGCTAAAGGGAAACCCATCTTCCTCACAGCTTGC